AAGCCAAACCCAAAGCCCAAACCAGTTGGAAAATACAATCCTTAAGAGCCCAGAAACCTATCGACAATTGTGAAACTGTAAAGATACAGACAGTAGTGCACTAAGCGAAATATAATAATACAACTATTTCTTTTAAATACAATTACTATTATTTATTTAACGAGATTTAATGAAAATAAAATATAAAAACGTACTCAACGATTAAATGGGAATAAAAGCCAAAGCAAAAATATCATAGGTGTCTAAAAGTATGCAACAATATATTTTTAGTTAAAAAGTGATAAGAATTCATACAGGAAGACGACTATCCCTAATTTACTGCATACTTTTAGACACTTATTTTGAAAAATAAACATTCCTTGCTATTTCCAATCTCAACCTCTGCATAATTTTTCTACAATTACTTTATAAGGCAGCCCCCAATATCGTGTATATATTTTGAAATATTCTCCTGGTACTGGAAAACGCAATGAATCGGAATCGAACAAAAGCCAGAAATTGGGGAAAGCCAAGTGGAAAGTGGAGAAGCGGGAAAGAGGGAAAACCCGAGGCTGCGGATGGGGTTAAAAACATATTTACCAAGGACGTTGGTCGGACGATGTAACCGCCGAGCAAACAGTCGGCCTAATCAAAAGTCACAAACACAGTCAAACACACGCACACACACAGATGCAGAAGGGGGAACACATAGCCACACACAGACACACACAGGCGCACAACGTCTTGGCCAGAAAGCAAGTCAAGTCAACAAAAAGCAAACTATTTGTTTGCCAGCCTGTGCCTGTGTGTGCGCCTCCCCCCTTTGCCACCCATTTTCCGCCCAATTTTCCCTGTCAGCCAATTTGACAGTTAGCAGTTACAACATAGTTACAGCCATCTACCAAAACACACACACACACAGAGAGGAACGGAGGAGTGTACACAAAGTGCGTGTGTGTAAGTAAAATTGCTGGCAATTTAAATTATTGTTTAGGCCATAATACAAGGCATTGTTATGGGCTCGAATCGGATCGAATGGGTGGTCCTGACTTGGCCCTTCATCGAACTCATTGTCCACGAAGACAATGGTATTGTTAATATCGGCTTTAAATTGATAATCGCTCAAAGACCAATTATGATGAGTATCTATGTATGTACAGGTGCAGCAATAATCTCTCACCGCCCATTAAACAGGACTTCTTGTGAAGGCATTCATATAAATTGGTATTAATTTGCCATAGATGCCATAGAAATCGCCTATAAAGGTGTCTAAAAGTAGGCAACAATACTTGTGGAGTTCGAATACGCCATGGAAATCATTTACAGAGGTGTCTAAAAGTGTACAATCATATATTTTGAGTTCAAAGTTTGATGTATTGCATACATTTAGGCATGATATTAATATTCTTAGATTTATGTAAATTAGTAAAATATATAGATACCAGTTGTTTGTTTGCCCCTGGAAAATAAAAGTTAATTTCGGAATTATTCTTGGAATGAAATTTGAGTGGAAAACGCTGCCCAATCCAATTCCCCCTTAAAATTTGAAAACTTGAAGAGCATTTTTTGATTATGCAACACTGGAACACGCGCAAAAAAACCAAAAATGAATTTCCATTGAAATCGTTCAGGTGTAAAAAAGAACAAATTTGTTATTTTATGAGAGGCCGGCACAAACAAAGGACGAAAAAAAGAAGGAAGAAGGAGAAGAAGAGAGACCGAGCAGGAGCAATGATTCATTCAAAAGAGATTGAAATGGAGGATGGGGAGACAAAAAGTGTGTGTGGGCTGTGCAATAAATAATATTTTTTGTTTGTATCAATTTGTCAGGCGGAGGAAGTTGCCTCCTCCTCGCCCACAGAGACAGAAAACTCCTCGCCCACATGCAGAGCCACTCACCCATACACTGATACGCACACAGGACACGCTAGACACACTGGACATACAGGACACATGCAGTTGACAGTTAATGGTCTAATGAAATGTCTTTGGGTTATCGCAGCTGTTTACCTGGCTGACCGAATCAGGGCTTTCAGCCAAGTTAAGCTCCCAGCTAAGTCCCCAACAATGTCCTTGCTATATGGCCTTTGCGACCACGCCCCCCACCGCCCCCTCCAGCCGAAAACCCCTGCAGTGTGTGCATCGCAATTAATTGCCGCGTGCGTGTGTAAGCGTTCACTAACACTGCGAAGAAATATCACCAAAAAAAAAATTACTTTGCTTTAAACTGGCATTTTCCTTTTTATTCTATTTTAAAGTTATAAATAAATGCCTTTAAAACCAAAAATTTTAAAAATGTTTAAAATTTTTCTAAATATAGTAATACATATTTTTTGGCTATTTGCGATTGTTTCATAACTATAAGACACCAACAAATATAACCGAGATTTTTTAATGATCTAAGGAAAAGTGTGTAAAAGTTGAGAAGTTTTATTAAGCTACAGATATAGATAGATAGCCTCTTCGCTCAGTGTCCCTTTGTTTAACTGTGCGGCTGACTGAGTGCAGGACTCCACGACACACACACACACGCACACACACTCAGGCACACTTGGCAGGACTATTTACAACTACAGCTACAAGATGTGACAGCTGCAGCTGCAACGGGACATCGGAACTCAAGTTGTGGCACTTGCAGATGATAACCGGCAATTGCGGTGGATAACTGGGATAATCGCACCGCTGGCACGGAATGCCGGATGAGGACATCCTGCAAGGAGTCCTGCGCTAGATCAATAAGTCCTGCAGAAGGCCGGGCATTAAATTTAAGCCCACTCAACTTTCCAATTTCCAATTAAAATGCTTTACGGTCCCGCTGAAGTTGCATTTCGTTGTGTGTTGGCGCTATTTGTTTAATCTGCCCATAAATATGTATAAAATATTATGCATTTGATAGGAAAGCGGAGAGAAAAAAAAATGGCAATGGAAAATCAATATCAATATCAATATGCCAATATGCCAGCCACTTGCAGGCGAAAAATGCAGAAATGTTGAATTGCCAACCGAACGAACGAACGAGCGAACGAACCTCGCATATATGTAGGTGTATTTGCACAATTCTCAAAATGGGGAAAGCCAATTAAACTGGCCAAGAGCTGCGACAAGAGGAAGACAAGAACAAATTTGCATAACTGATTAAAAACTTTCCCCCTTTCCCGCCTTTTCCGCCTTTCCCGCACCGGCGAAAGGTGAAAGCGGAGCGGAAAAGTGGAAAAGTCAAAGTGTGAACATAAATCCAATGCCCAACTTTAAGCACTTTGGCAAGGGACTAAACTCAAACTGAAATTCAATTATTAATTTAACTTTTCATTGAATTTTCCAGGCTTTCTACCCCCATCCCCTCTTTTTCATCCATCGGCCTTTCCCTCGCTCCTTCAGTCATTGTTCAATCTATCAATCTAAGCCTTTAGCAAACTAAAAGTGAGAGGCTAACTGGCTTATTATTAATTTGCAGCTGAACTTGGCTCTGACTCGATTATAATCTAAGGTCATTCTCGGCCGGAAAGTTTCTCGACAGTAAATTGTATTATAAATTGCAGCACAGATATTTCATATTTTAGCTATTCTTCTTGTTTACTGGGTTATATTTAATATTATTTTGCATTTTTATATTTTGTTTTTATTATTTGAAAAATTTAATATTTTTAAAAGTAATATTATCAAATATTTAATAAATAATTTCAAATATTCTTATATTTATATTTGTAAAATATATTCAAATATATTCATATATTATAAATGTCTTATCGGTATTCAATAGGTATTCAAACTCACGGGTTTCACCAACCCTTTGTCTTTACAACGTCCTCGATTGGAGAAACCCCATTGACTGTTTTACTACTATAATACTACTATAATTTTCCATAATTCCCACCGCAATTGTCATATTTGGTGAACCTTATAAAAGGCGAAAGGGAAAAGTCAAGGGCCAGGGTAGAAATTTATTGCGCTTCGGCTTATTAAAAATCAAATTCCCTGGCAGTGATTGAATTGACCGTTGATTGAGAGCTCCAGCTCTCGAAGGAAGTCCGGGTGAAATCCTCTTAGCTGCCAGCTAAGCTAGGCAAAATGCAATAAAATCGATTAATGCCATGAGCATAGCGTTTCGGCTCGGAAATCACAATATACCGCCCCATCGACCATCGATCCACCATCTACTATCCACCATCCACCATCCGCAACCAGCAGGAACATCGTCATCGCTGGGCGACTTCCTGCCTGTCTTCTCCTTGTGTAATCCAAAACCAAATCCCCGCTAAAAAATGCATTGTTCGCTATTAGCGGAAATAATCGGTGGAGGATTGGAGGATTGGATTGGAGGGCGTATGTATATGTACACAGTCGCCCAAGGCTGTAAACCACTAAGCTTCTCCTTTTGGCCCCGTTTCCTTGGCGAGAGAGCCAACTGAAATGGCGGATTAATTTAAAGTATGGCCAAGAAAGGTCGGGTTACAAATGGCAACACTTAAGCCAAATTCAGTGATAAGTCGCTGGAACTTATCTCGCTCGCTCGCAGCCCAGGTACTAATTTCGAAAAGTTTCCCTCGAATCCGCATTCGAATCCAAAAGCAGAAAGCCACATTCACTGTGAGTGGCCCAAAAGTTGGCAATTAAATCTGTTTTCGGGATTGCCACAAGCAAATCTCAGTTTCTCCCCAGCCAAAGATTACAGTGGGAAGCTATGTATATCCCAAAAAAAGTTTAGGGGCCTGCCACTTTGGGTTTCGAAATTGGCCCTAAAAAGTTGAAATTCCAAACTATATTAAATGGCAAGGATCACTCAAAATGTAGTAAAAATTAATAAATATTTGCACTGCCCAAAAATGTAGTTTACTAATGCGGTACAAAATAAAACCAATTGATTATAAGGATTTTTTAATGTTTTATTTAAACTAAAATTTAAGAAGATTAGTTATGACAGGTTCATAACTTCTTCAAATAAAAATCCAGAAAATAAATTTGAAATTATGGCTCATCCTGCGAGAACTGCCAAGTATTCCTTGGCCGAAACGAAACAAAACTTAGCTCTCGGCATCTGAAATCTGTGGTAAATCGATAGAGAGATTAAATGTCTCCATGCCGCCCAAGCACTTGACGGATTCATTGCCCGCTCGTGTCAGCCACTTGTACTTGTCCTTGTACTCGTAGTCGCAGCTGTAGTTGTAGTCGTAGTCGTACTTGTCCTGTCGCCTACAAGGATTCGGGCGATGCAGAGAGGAGGAGCGCGGGCGACATGGAGACAGTGAAGGAGTCTATGACTCAATCCTGCCGTCGACGGCTGTGGCGATGTTTAAACAGAAAGCAGTTAAAAACACTAAGCAATGTGGCCAGTATGCACTGAGAAAAAAATCCTAAGCGAATTTAAAAACTATGTTACAAAAATGAAAATTCCATTTAGTTTAAATTTATAATTCGCTCAAATTTTGAGGTACCTAAGCGAATATCGTAAAATCCCCTCTTAGTCCATAATAACTTATTATTACCGAATTTCGGTTTTTGATTTTAGATTTTTATGTTAAACAGTGTTCGCTATTCAGTGAACGTGCAAAAAATAAATTGCTCGCTTTTATAGTTAAAGTTTATATATAAATTCCAAACTCAGCGTTTTCAAGCCATTCAAGCCACAGGTTAAATTTTGGATTCACTTATTTTTCTTCCCCTGTAGAGGTTAAAAAATAGGGATAAAAAGGGGATAGAGACGGCAAATGAAGGCGGATGAGGAGGCGCATAACGAGGCAGGAGATGAACAGCAGTTGCAGCCATAAAAAGGCAACCCGCCATGTTGTAACAGTTGTAAGCTGACAATGACAACGACAGAGATGGCGATAGTCGGCCAGAGGGAGACGGCAGCAGAGAAACGGAAAGAGACAGATACAAAAGAAGGCGACGTAGACGAGGCACGCACAACAACAACAGAACAACAACAATAACAGCAGTGAGTGCAAAATGTAATTGAATTTCTGTTGACAGATTTTAACGCACAATATCCTGCAGCAACATTGTCCCAAGAAATAAAAAAGAAAAAATAAAAATACAAAAAAAAGGAGGATGATAAGCTCGGCGAATAAGTTACGAAAACCGAAAATAAAAATCGCAAGAGAGTGAAAATTACACGGAGAAGGCGAAAAAATGACAACAGCATGTGCAACGTTTGAAATTCGATATTCAATATAGATTCTATACAATCGATTCGGGTCAACATCCAACATCCGCACTTTATGCATTGTTTGCCATCGATAAATAGTGCATATTGCCAGATTCCTTGCGCTGATTGCCCGTTGCCGCTGCTCATTCAATTATGGATGACAAAAGAACGACAAAGGAATGAAAATAGCCCCGTGGAGCACGGCTTTAACCGTATTAAGTGCTTTTTAGCGGTTGCGAATAGCTTTATTGGATTCAGTTGGAGCAACAAAAAGAAAAATACGTTTTTTAATGGAACACAAAACGTGGTCAAGCAAAGTACTCGTTAAAAGGTATTTTTATTGACATAAACTAGAGAAATATCGAGTTAACCAAATTGACTTAGCGGCTAAAAGAGTTTTTCTGCCAAGCTTTTGAAAGTTTGAATATCTCTATATTAGTGGTAAATGTTTGTGGCATACTATTTAATTAATTCCAGTCGTTCAACAAAATCAGGAATTTTGATTCATCACAAAAAAAAAAATAAGTGGATAGCTAAATGTTTTATATTTATTTGTGGTTAGAAACCGAATAACTAAATAAGGTTATGTATTTTTTGCCCAAAGTGCATTGGTTTTTAATTACTTAAAATAATAATAAATAAATAGCAAAGAAAAGCATTAATAATGACTGAAATCTGTAACATTTACAGCAATTAAAACTTTAAAACTGCATCATTTAAAATGTTTTCCCTGCCCTTTTGTCTTGTCTCTGTAGTTTCGAGCCAAACTTTTCAACAACAGTCGCGGATATGTTGGGGATATGGAAATGACAAAAGTTTTCCAGCGGTAGGCGGGGATGTTTCTCACTTCCTTGCTCGCTTTTCCCTTTTCCCCCATGATTTTTCCACCCCCACCCCCCAAAAAACACACTCGCTAAAAGTTATGCAATTCAATTATGTCCTTTTGATTGTTTTACAGTTTTTCAGTTCGACAAGGAACGAAAAGTAAAATGAAATGAATACTTTGCGTCTTTGCCATCCTCCATTTAACTTGATGAGACTCAAACGCACACACACACACTCGCACACCAAAAAGCACACCCACACACATACACTTGTGCGGTGGAAAAACGATTTTCCATGTACCCAGCGCTTTTCTCTGGCCGAGCACACAAGTTTTTATGTTGTCCTGTAATAACAGACATGGAAACTGCTTGACTGACGGACTGGATGGCTGGCTGGCTGGGCTGATTGACTGATTGATGAACTGACTAACTGAGCCACAGGCAAATTGCGAAAACACTCTTAATGTGCTTACATGGAAAATCAATTCGCTGCGAGACGTCGAGAGCTCCAAAAAGGGAGAAAAGCGAGCCGCACCAGCAGCACTAAAAGTTATAGTTCATTCGGGACAAAGAGGATTTCTAGCTGCAGTTGTGAGTTTGCACTGAGAACAATTGATCCAATGATGGATTTGAAAAATATCTATAAATTAACTAGGTAAGTTTCTTGACAAATATAAAAATTCAATGCTTCGTTGGTTAAAAAAATATAATAAAAGCCTTTTTGTAACTCTTTAAAATAGTCATAAATTAATTATCTGGATTAATTTTAGATTAAAATCCAAATTCTTTCAAAAACAAAAACCTCCTAAGATATACAAATAAATATTTCTCTCAACAATAATTCCAAAAAATTATAATACAAATTCCCTCTTGTTTCCCATAGACATAGATATTTTTCTCCAAGTGCATTCGCACTTTGAGGTCCTGGAAAATGTGTGGCGCGCTTTAAGGTCGGCATGGAAAAGCTGGTAAGAATTCAACGCAGCGGGTGACTTGAATCGATTCGCCTTTAACTTCGCTTTGGTGGGAAAACTGCACACACTTTAAAGGCAGGCGGGGAGCGGAAAATTCAGTGCGGGGGGCCGGGTGGAAAACTCAGCTGGGTGCAAACGCAAACCACTTTGATCCAAAGGAGCCGCAAATGTGTGTGATGTGTGCCATAAATGTGACACCGACAACAGCGGGTTGTCAGTAAAAATTAACGCAATAGTGACGCATAAAGTGCAAAATTCCACTCACTTTAATTACGGATTCAGTTTTTTAATTTTGCAAATAGTCCATCAAGATCGTTGCTGTTAATCAGTTGTTTATATGATTTTGTTTTTTATTTTTTCGTATAGTTCTTCCTCATTTGCATGCCATTACCAATTTTCAGCTCATTGCATTACACATTCCAGTGATTGCATTCCAATTTGATTTTAAATTTGATTTTTCAATTATGCTAATAGAAAAAATAGCAAAAAAAAAATTAAAATATTCCACTTCTTAACAGGTAGATTTTTTATTCAAGTACCTGTGAATGATGATTAACAAAAAAAATTATTGCGATATTTACATAAATAAAATATACATGTAATGTCATCAAATAATTTATGCCAATATAAATTAGCTAGTGAAAAAATGAGAAGTTAAAGAATTCGATTTATTAGCTAATGCTTAGATAAATAAATAAATATGTTATGGCATTAAATAATTTATTTGCTATTTCTGGCAGTAAGGTGAAAGGAAATCGAAATGTAATTATGGGTAAAACTATAATAAAACCCCATGTAATGCTTCACACTTGAAGGATAAAAGTTAATCAGAAGGACAAGGATATGCATGTGTAAATAATATTATGGTTTCCACTCCATCTGACTTTGGTCGTGAGTTTCTTGCATGAAAATTTTATAGATAAAAGACGAAAACTTCGCCAAAGGGGGTGGCAAAAAAAGAAGTGCGAGTCCAAGGCCTTTTCCCAACTTCTTATGTGTGTGTGTGTTTGGCACTTGAGTAAGGTCAGTTTGAGCGTCTGGAGAAATGGTTATCCTTACTGCGTACTTTGGCAACAATGTGTGTGTGAGGATATAAAAAGTCGCATATCAGTTGCCTTGGAGGCTCTTGCGATGGTCGCCTTGTTCTCAAAGATAATCCCAAATCATACTTAAATTTGTATTCATTTTCTGTACAGCAAAGCACTTACGAAAGGGAACTTAAACGAGAGCTTTAAAATGTTCGATATTTTCTATATTTTGACAATATTGACTCGATAATATCAATTTTTCGAAGCGAAACACACAAAATAAATATCCAGAAATAACAAACTGTTGGTATTTTATCAAGCTCTAATTTAAACAGCCTTTAATGTGTAAAGCTTTAAATTATAATAATAATAAGATAAATCAAAGTTTGCCGTATAATTTTTGTTCAATATAATTTCATTTTCTTAAGGCGTTTAAAAATATTTTGCATTTTTTTTCTTTAGCTTTTGTTTAAAAACCAATTCTGGCAAAATTCTTTGCAGCTTAAAAAACCAAGAGGCACACAAAAAAGCAATTCTGCCCCGCCTTTGCCCTTTTTTCATGGTGGCAATTAAAATTCGCTTACATTCGCTGAACATTCGCGAGCAGAACAATACAGAATACATAAATTAAATCAGGCGGAGAATAAAATATATGTACAACAAGCGTTTAAATACGCATTTCGCTGGAGCTAATAATAAAGGAATTTGCCGTGCACTTATTAAATTCTGCTCGGTTTTCTGGCATTTCGAAATCTCTGTTTGCTCAGAATTCAGAATGGCGAATGTGATAGCTTCTTCCGTTTTTGTTTGGCTTTGTTTTATTTTTCGAGCATTTCATTTGACAGCAAGTGAATTTTGGGAAATTTACAAAGATTTTCGGGCTTCATTGGCAAAGAGCAGAGAAATCCCCCATTGATAATCTTTGGCCTGCGTATTACTTTGTGAAATTTCTGCCAGATTTTTACTTTTACCTCTATACAATTCCAATTTCATGTGAGTGTGTGCTTCTGTGGGAGTAGCATTTATAAGCCACAAAAGAAATAAAAAGGACGAAGGCCTTAAGACCGTTTCAAGTTGCTGAATGTGTGCTTCCTTTTTTCCCGTATTTCTTTTATTTTTCTCTCTCTGGCTCACTTTTGTGTATGTCCGTTTGAATTAATATTACAATGTCCTTAAGGTTTATTTGGCTTGATATTCCTTTTTATCTTTATATTTGCCC